AACAGTGCCAGTTTCTTTGACCTTTTGACATATCTGAACCACAGAAGACTGTGCTACATTTTCTTTTTCTGCAACAATACGGGTAGGGTAACCTTCTTGAACTAGTATAATTATACGTGTGTATTTTTTCTTGGAAATACAGATCATAATTTTTATTTATAGGTGGATGGCTACCAAAATAAAAAGTGCGAAAAAAAATATATGACTTTTACTAGTAAAAATTTTTCATTTGTAAAAAAATTTGAGGAGTAGCTTATGCCATAATTTTTTATTATGTAAATGATCATATGATTTGCATCGCTACTTTTGGAAATATATGAACAGAAAAATCAGAATTTTACATAATATTGCATGTCAAAGATTATTTATTATATCTGTGCTATTGTACTTTCGAATCGTTTATTTTTTTTGTACTTTACTATCTATAAATCATGAGATATCATGATTTCTTTTTTGTGATCCAGGTGATGCAAAACATTTAATCACCACTGTATAATAGGAAATAATACAATATTTTATTTGTTTTCTCACTTGAAGTACTAGCACTTAAACTATTTTTGTTAAATACATAAGGATTTATCCATGCATCAGTCAATGATAAGCAAAAAATCAGCAATAGACTTGTTAATAACAATCGCGAGATTTTTGAAAAAGAATATAATAATTTATTCATTTTTACTAAATTCTATTAATGATACTAAGGTTCGCAAAAAAATTTGCTTGAAAAAACAGATATTTATAGGAAAGTTAGAATATCTATTATCGCGTGTTTCTTAGAATTGTTTCATGAGATAGGTTTTATGAATACAGATGTTTGTCATATATAGAAATTCATTTTTTAAAGTTGATTTGCATTATATGATCGCATGTATCAGTATGAACTAACTTATATTCATAATAAAAATATGAGTTTTTTTTAATAAATATTTATATAAGACTTTTATATTTTTTGAATAATTTTTATTAAATTATAATAAATATAAAAATTAATATAAATTTATATAATTAAATATTAAAAAATTTATAAAGTATTCTAATTTTATTTTAAATTAAAACCAAAATATTTATTAATATATAAAAGTTCTATATTATATTAACAAAATTATTCTATTTTTATATAAAATTTATAATATAATTATAAAAAATCTAAATAGTATATTTATATAATATATCTCTTAATATTAAATATATATATAATTCTAACTATATATAAATAACTAATAAAATTTACAAATTTTTTATAAGCTATTAATACTAGTTAAGATAATTTATATAAATTTTAAGAGATAAACTAATCAATTATAATTATATAATGAAAAAATTGATTATTTTGATAAATTGATTAGAAATTTATATATTCTTATTAGTAATAAATACTAATTATAATAATATATTATCTAAATATATTAAATTTCATTTTTAATTAGTAAAAATTTTTTTCATTAACTTTATAATTAGAGCAACTCTTTCAGAAAAAATCTGAAAAATCTGAAAAAAATATATGTTAAACTATAACTGATAAACTTTATTTTAATGTAAAAATAAAAATTATTTCTTATTAAAATTATAAATTTTAATATAGAGAGAAAATTTCAATTTTTACTATGTTTTATTAGTAAATTTAGCCCCTGAGTCATTACTTTTGGTTACCACTGTATATCTCTTTATAATTATCTTTTTTAAGTTTTTCAATTATTATAATTAAAAAATCTCTTTATAATTACATCTCTCTTTAATTACTCTATTTTGTTTTGTATTATTAATCTATTATTAACTTTGACTTTTGCAATTTTTATATTGTATTTATTTAAAAAATATCATTTAATACTAGAATTTTTCGCATATAGACATTTCTGAATAAGTCAATATATTATAATTGAATAAATCTATAAAGAAAAAGTTTTACTATTAGTATTAGAACTTGCAAATATAAATATACTTTATCATAAATTGTAATATGCAACTTATTAAAAGTCATTCAAATCATCTTTATCAGAATTATTAAAAATAATCACATTATTATATTATTATCAAAAGTAAGAGTTTACTAAAGATATAAAAAAAAGTGTAACAATAATAAAAATGCAAAATGCGAGAAAATGAAATAGTAAAAAAAATGTGAAATGCAAATCAATTTGAATTTTAATTGGCTAGAACTATTTAAGACTTGATCCAAAAATCTGTACCTAGACTTGATCCTAGATTCTAGACTTGATCCTAGATTCTGAACTTGATTGACCTTTTCCAACCTAAATTTCAGTGATGGGAATTGAGTATAAAGTCTACCATTCGATTAGATTCTGGTAAATCGAATGGTAGGTCTTAAATTCAATTCCCGCCACTTGGTCTCGAGATATTGAGCCCCAAAGAGGCCGTACGTGAAATTCTGCTTTATTTTTAATGAACAGTTTATGTACAGCTTCTTTGGGACTCAATACTCGAGAACCAGTGACGGGAAGCAAGTATAAAACTGATTATTCGACTTACACTCGATTTCCGCCACCGGATCTCGAGATATTGAGCCTCAAAGAGGCCGTACGTGAAATTACTCATTATTACGGATTTCATTATTTTGTACAAATATTAATTACACTAATGCATCAATTACGAACTTTACAACAGTTACGAATATTATACCAATTACGAGTATTACATCAATTACTGCAAAAATTATGGTTTTAAGTCAAAAAGTTGCAACCTTTCAATTTTATTAAACTTATTACGGCATGCAACACTATCACCAATCTTTCACAAGTGTAAGAATAAAGGTCGATTCATTCACCTAAGAAAAATAAAATGTTATAAAAAATGTCGTATAATTAAAATAACAATTAATATTCACCTCTTGTTCTTCCTCAATGATAGTTTCATTACCAAGTTCCCTATTTTCAAGTTTTAGTCTTTCTGTATGTGGGACTAATGGCCGTTTTAATGTTTTTTTGATAATATCGGCTGCCGGGGTCTGTAGGACGCGTTCGATCTGGTTACTGGGATCTTTAGTAAAACGATAGTATGTAATAACCGGATCGGTTGGTTGCAATCCGGCCTAAATTAAAGACGATATAATTTGAGAAATTGAAATGGTCGGTTTCAGACAAAAAAATTGTATGACTCATCAAAACCAAAAACCTTAAGCAACCTTTTTTCTTAACCGTTGCACCCGATTAACAATCTCGCGTGCCCACCCTTCCTCCTGTAACTCGGAATACTCTCTCACATCTAAAAGGATCAGCACATCTTTATCTGTATTAGTTTCATAATGACTACTGCCCTCCTTCTCACTACTGGCATCAAAATATCGAATAACTTGTAAATCTTCATCGATGACTTTTATTCCGTCGATCATCATCTCTTTGGTTTGTAGGAATTCTTTAACCTGTTCTGATGTGACATGTTCAAGACCTTTTTTCACTTTGACTATGTCTTTTTTTAATTTTTGACCAAGGGTCTTCCAATCAGCTTCGGCCCGATATTTTATATTGTATTTGTTCTCGTCTGAGGTTACTACTAGATTTTTGATGTTTAGTTCCTGTGTGTCAAGAAAAATAAGAAATAAATTTAATTTCAATTTTTATGAGTTAAAATATTCGAAAAAGAATACATACTTCAACAATGTAGCTCTTTAAAGATAGGACATCGGAATGATACTGAGAATCAGAATGCACAACTACTAATTCTTTCAAAGGAGTCTAATGAAAATTCACATCAATTATTATCTTTTTTCGTATGAATTTATTGATAATAAAAAATTATGAGACAATTAACCTTCAACCCGATACTCTTTTTGTCTCGAATGAACCGTCCCATCTCAATCACAGCCTGCATACGCGAGACACGACGTTCAATTTCCGTGTCAAAATATTCTTCGCGCACTTCCGGAAATGATAAAAAGTGCACCGATCGCACATCTTGATCAATTTCGAGTGCTGATAAAAACGGACGCAAATTTTGATATATAATCTCAGTGATAAAGGGTGTAAATGATGCCTTTTTTTATTGACCAATCAATAAAGGAATGTTAAAGCCCATATATTTTACTAAGAACGTGACCACAAGCAACAAAAATACGTAATAACTTGTTTGTTTAGTATTAACCTTACCATTGAACGACACAGCGTATACAAAACTTCAAAAAGTGTGTTCAAAGCATCAATTGTATCTTCCGGTCCGTATTCACCTTTTAGTCGTTTTCGATTGAATCTCACATACCAATTAGTCAACTCATCAATGAGTTGTAATAATCTTGGAACAACAGTGTACAATCGGTAGGCTACAATTGTTTCATCAAATAAAATTACTGATGAATAGTTTAATTACAAGGAAATGAAGTGTTTTATGACGCGTATTTTATTATAAGTTACCGGCCATTTCCTCTCGAACAAACTTGATGAGACTTTGCGATGACGCTAATATCCATTGATCCATTACATTTGTCGATTTTTTGGCTGTTGGATTGTATTGGAAGTCTTTTCCTGTTTCCTTTTATTTTTCGAATTGGATAAAATAATAAATTATCTCTCCATGATACTTTATTAATGCAATGAACTTGATATTTTTGTGAATCAAACCTTTTTTAATAAAACTACTTGAGAAATAAAGAAGCGATAGGCGTTATACCATGGTAGAAATACTTTTGTGACGACTTCTTTTACACCTTCTTCTTTAAATTTCAAAGGTTCGGCGCGCACAACTGGCGAATTTATAAGATATAACCTTAAAAAAGCGAATTTAACTATTAGGATCCGCGAACTAAAAAAAGAAATAGATGTAAAATAATCAAGTCAAATAAAAATACCTTAATGCGTCAGCTCCGTATGAATCAATAATTTTTGAAGGCTCAGGGTAATTTTTCAGACGTTTACTCATTTTCTTTCCGTCACTTGAAAATGAAATTATAAATTGTTTTTTTAATCCTATATCGAGACATCATATGCTTCTATAATAATGAGTTAACATAAACGCACGATGCCAAAACCAATCCATTGACAATCAAATTCTTAAATGCCGGTTTATCAAACAAGTGCGTCGATAACACCATTAATGTATAAAACCAGCCACGAGTTTGATCTAAACCTTCGGCAATGAAATCTGCAGGAAAAGAAGCTTCAAACTTTTCTTTATTCTCAAACGGATAATGAACTTGTGCATACGGCATACTAAATGAAAAAATATAAAGTTTAAAAAACACGTCTTATTAACGAAACACAAATTCAATAAATACCTGCCGGATTCGAACCAACAATCAAACACTTCCTCTATTCTTCTTAACTGGCCTTTACCTTGTTTTGAGGGAATGGTGATATGATCGATATTTTCACGATGTATGTCTGTTAATTTTTCGCAGCCAGATAATTCTTCAAGTTCTTTTAATGATCCCACACATACAATCTTTGTAATAACAAAAGTAGCAACAATAATAGTAAATTTGCGTGATATAAAGACCAATTTCAATAGATATTTAAGCTGCTAGCATAAAAACTATTTTAATACCTCTTTCAGATCATCACTAACCCATAACGGAATTGGTGTACCCCAATATCTATTTCGTGAAATATTCCAATCTCGTGCATTAATGATCCAATTTGCAAACCGTTTCTCTTGTACAAAATCAGGAACCCTTTATTTATTGAAAATTCGAAACTTCAAAAAAAATCTTTCTTATTTTGAATAAATGCATCACGTCAAATTAACATACCAATATGTTTCTTTGTTGTTCTTTAATAACTTTTCAATAATTGGCTTAACACGGACAAACCAAGAGGGTACTGCTTTATATATCAACGGGGTATCTGAACTAAAACATATAGAATCAGAAATATTAGTTTACCATTCTCAAAAATTAAGTGCATAATATAAAACTTACCGCCAGCAAAATGGATAACTATGCATTAAATTCGATTGTATGATCAATCTTTTTCGTTGTTTCAATTCTTTTTGTATATTTTTGTCTGCATCCTATAGTAAAGAAATAACGTATATTAAATCTATATATTTAATGTCTGTTTACGATTTATCACTACCTTAACATAAAGCCCGGCGAAATCTGTGACCTCGTTTGTAAATATACCTTGTTCATTAATAGGACAAGGTAACGGACCATCCTCAGAGATAATTCCATTCGCTAGACAAATACGGTAATCGTCTTCACCAAAGGCGGGAGCTTGATGCACAATACCGGTACCAGTATCATCGGTAACATAGTTATCGTTTAAAACCACAAATGCTTTATCTTTAAACTAATAATGAATTATATTATTACTAAATATATATGTGGTTGCTCATTAAGAACATTATGTTGTACCTGAGGAACAAAATAATCAAACAATGGAACATATTTCCATCCTTTCATATCATTTCCTTTAATCTTTTCCAGGACTTTATACCTTGCTTTCTTTACATCTTTATATAAAACAGTAAGACATTTTTCTAAGAGGATATATGTGTGCTCGGTGAGTTCATCTTTGATTTTGACATACTCAAAATCTGGGTGTACACATAGTGCTAGGTTACTGGGTAATGTCCATGGTGTGGTGGTCCATGCAAGTAGTAGAGTATCCGGATCATTTACCAATGGGAATGAAACCACAACTATCAAGGTATCAAAGCATTAATCAAAATTCAAATAGGCGGCGTTACAGTGTATATGATAACTTACTCGCCGGATCATTTACATCCTTATAGTTCTGTGCAGCTTCAAAATTCGATAATGGGGTAATACATCCAGTAGAATACGGCATAATCCTTACACCTTGATATACTTGATTCCGATTATAAAGTTGCTGAAAAACCCACCAAACACTCTCCATGAATGTAGTGTTTAGTGTTTTATAGCCGTTATCAAAATCGATCCAGCGACCGAGCCGTTCGACTGTTTGTCGCCATGCTTCAGAATATCGCATTACTATGCTTCGACATTCTGCGTTATATTTATCAATTCCCATGTTTAATACGTCATCTTTGCCCTAAATCGATAGGAATATATTATCATTATTGTAATCTTTGATAATACGAAAAACATTAAATTGAAATTGCATTTTGTTTTTACCTTGATATTTAATTTTTTATCAATTTCATATTCTACAGGCAAGCCATGACAATCCCATCCAAATCGACGTTCCACATAATGGCCAGTCTGTGCAGCATAACGCGTCACAATATCCTAAATTCGATTCATAATTAATTATAAAATTGTCAATAACGTAATTCGTTGGAATATGTAGCGAGACTATGATCGTCTATGTGCACAAAAGTGTAAATACGCATTTTTTTACAAACTCGACAAAACAGATATTTCTAAATTATATAATTAACTTTAATAGTCCCTGCCAATAAATGCCCATAATGTGGTAATCCAGTAGCAAAAGGAGGACCATCATAAAACAAATAAGGTTTTTTTCCTTCGGATAATCGTAGCTGCGTCTGAAACGCTTCGATGTCTCTCCAGAATTCTAAAATCTTTTCTTCCTCAGCAGGAAAGTTGATTTGTTGTTGGTTTGTGTCTAAAAAATATAGATTTACGCACCAATTCAGTACAAACTTTTATAAAGCGAGAAGTAAAGGTTGACTAAAAAAATTACTCTCTGTTGTAGACATCGTTGTTACAACGGATAATGAATTTTCATTGAATCATAAATCTTATAATTTTTATAATGATCAACTAGTAACAAACAGAAAAAAAGTGACAGATCATGTGACTTCCGATCACAATCTGTCTTTCCGGAGTTCCGCCCATGTAAATCTCCTTTTTTGATATATATTTGGTATTAGTTTAATAAATAATATATTAAAATTATTACTATATATATTTTAATTAACAAAAAAGATGAAGAAAAATATAATAAAGTAGATTTCTTTTTATATTAAAATATAAATCATAAAATATTAGTATTTAACATAATCAAAAAGCTAATCATTAATTTCTGAAGTATTACATGATATGTTATTAAGTTCTTGTATTAAGAACTTCATAATATTCATCAATTTCTTGTACAAGTGACTTGATTATTCTTTTAAATTCTTATACAAATCTATTATTTTTCACATTTTCTTTTAATAAAGATATTTCTAACTTAAATATCTATCTAATTTTATTTATTATATCTTTATTTTATTCAGAATCTTAATATTAATTAATAGTAATATGAGAATTACTTATAAATATTATAAATATGCTAATAGTTTATATATATTTATTTCAAGAATTATTATATATTATTGTAATAATAAATTTTTAATAGAATATTAATTAATTATTATTAATTATTTTATATTATAATATGATTAGATAATTAATTACTTAAATATTATCTTTAGAGAATATTATTTATAAATATTTTTAGAAGATTTTACAAATATAATAATCATAGCAAACATAATAAAATTATCATAGTAAAATTAATAATATTATCATAATAAAACTAATATTATGATTAGAGATAATATAACAAATATGTAATACTTATTTATTATTTATTATAACATATTATAATTTCAAAATTTTATAAGTTATAACTAGTTATAATTAAGTAATACTTTATTTGTTATCATATTATAATAGTTAAAGAGTTATTTTTAATTATAATACTAACTAAAATAATATAAGTATTATAATAAAAGTATTATTTATTTAATCTCTAAAATATATAAAAATGATATATTTTAACTAGTGAAAAAGAATAATTCTGAATAATTAATTAATTAATTAATTTAGTTTGAGTTTTATAGATTTAGTTCTTAATTTATATTTTAAGTAAATTATAATTAAAGAGAATTCTAAGAAATATTTCTTGTAAAATAGATATTTATTATTTTATTTTATTAATAAACTAATTATTATATTTATCTTTGAATTATATTTTAGAATTAGATTATATTCTAGTTAATCACATTAAAGAATACTATTATTATTTATCTTTAGAAATTATCTTTAATAACTTTTAATAAAAAAATATATTCTTATTATTATATTATTAAGAATTTTTTAATATCATATTCTTAGTAAAAATATATATTTTTAATAGTTTAAGAATTATATTTGCCTCTTAAATTAATATTTATATCAAAAAAATAATATTTTTTTAATATTTTTTCTATAAAAAATAATTTTAAAATGATTATTCAATTTAATTTAGATTGAGATAAAAAATTCTCTGTAAATCAATTTGAAAATTTATAAAAAATTAAGATAATTAAAAAAATAATACTATAATATATTATTATTATAGTAATATAAATTTCTTTAATTTCATAATTTTTCAAATTTAGAAAATTTAACTAATCAATTAATTTTTAGAAAACATGTAATTTCAAATAATATAATTAGTATATTAGTTATAGATTTAGTTATGATTTAATAATATTTTTATAATATTCTTGTAATATTTTTGTAATATTCTAAGATTATCAATAAATAATTAGTCCTAAAATTAATAAGAATTTATAAATAGTTCAATAATAGTTCAGAAATACTTCAGAAATAGTTTAGTAATGAATTTTATTTATTTTTATCATTTATTTTTTCTTTTTAGAATATATATCTTATCTTTTTATTTTATTTCATCAT